CTCCGATTGCCGAATCAAAATGCAGGGAGGAAGAGCAGCAGAGGGGAAGCACCAATTTAAAGATTTGAGTCCCTGCGGTACTCAAAATTGTAAAAAGGTTTAATGTACTTGGTCTTTCCACTTATCAATATTTTGTACTTTTGGTCCCTCAATTTTTTTGGCATGAAATGTTCCTTAAATTTAATTTTCTAACTCTCAAAGTTGTCCTTTCGTTTAAAGGAACGCCGGTGTGTCCCATTTTCGTATTTTGATGGGTAAAAAAAAAATTATATTAATAAAAGAGTACAAGTGTTTTTTTATCTGATTTTAAATAAAAAATAACTTTTTATATCAATATATTTATTTTCATCTAAAAATTAAATTTATATAATATAACAGAGTGTAAATTGCACAATTATTTTTAATAGAAAAAAATTGTCACTCATACAGTACAAATACCTTCATTAAGTAATGAAATTTAATATATAATTCAAAAATTGAAAAAAAAAAAAAAGGAAGAAGTAAGAAACATAAATTCAACATCCATTTGTGGCGGAAGTCCATCCCTAGAAAACTTCCCCGCAAAGAGGATGGTGGCCTAGAAATTGGGGTGGGCACCGATGGGACAGGGTACCTTACCCGGTGACTTTTTTCAGTTGCCAACAATTTTTAGCAACGTTTTTCTTTATCAATATCATAATATCATGTCAAGGTATATATATATATATATTTTTATAATTAAGTCTCTATTAAAAGTTTTGGCAATGAAATCTTCTACCGTTATTATACAAATACCTGCTAAATTCATTTCTTAATATGTTTTCATTTGTAAATTTGAGGTATTATTTAACTTTTAAAAATAAATTTAATTTACAATAAAAATATTTCAAATGAAATTGATAGATAAAAAATAAATGAAATAACTTTAAATTTATTATATAAGAAGGAAAAGTATTTTTTTACCATCTTCAAATAAAAAATAACTGTTAATATTAATAAATTCACTCTCATTTAAAGGTTAATTTGTTGCAATTTAACCGAATCTAAATTGCACAAACATTTTTTTATAGGAGCAACTTTCACTCATACAATAGAAGTACCTTCCTTAAGTAATGAAGTTTAATATATAATTTTAAAAGTGAAAAAAAAATGTAAGGAATACAAATTAAACATCCATGGAAGAAGTCCATCCCTAGAAAACTTCCCGCAAAGACGAAGGTGGTCTGGTCTGGAATTTGAGGTGGATACTGGTGTGATAGGGTATCTGGCCCAGTGATTTTGTTGCCAATAGTTGTTTACAACTATTTTTCTTTACAAATAGAGAAAACTATTTTACAAAGTGGATTGTATGCAGTTCATTTTGTAAAATTATTTAAATATTTTTAAATTTTATTTTATATTATTTTTTTAAGAACATTTAAATAATTTTACAGGATGAACTGCATAAACAATTTTTTGTTACCAATATCATGTCAAGATATTTTTTCTATCATTAATTGCTTGTTAAAAGTTTTTGGCAATAAAATCTTCTACCATTACCATAAAAATACCTGCTAAATTCATTTCATACTATTTTTTCATTTGCAAATTTGAAGTATTATTTAACTTCTAGAAAAAAAAAATCAATTTGCAATAAAAATGTTTTAAGTAAAATTGATAGGTAAAAAATTAAATGAAATAACTTTAAATTTATTATTTGAGTTGAAGGGAATAGAGAAGAGAGAAAAATGTTTTTTTATTTAGTTATCAAAAGTTTTTTTTTTTTTTTTTATAAAAGAGTATAGTTGTATTAATAATTGAAACACAATTACAATGTAAATTATATCTTGCCATATAAGATTTATGACGGCAAAACATGCAGATTAGCCCCTCAACTCATCATGTGGTGGCAGATCACCCCTTCAAGTCCGTTCACGTGCAAAAGAACCCCTTAACTCGTCCTAGGTGGCAAATCAGCCCCTCTATGTAACATGACGACACTAATCTGTTAAAACATAACGTTTCACTCATCACGTTCCGTTCTGTGTCTGACCTAGATTTTTTTTTCTTAGATGGATGCTTTGTCTTTCATTACATTCTTATCTGATTGCCAGAGAGGATGAGTTTCTGCGGATTCTGAACAGCAGAAATTGAGCCTTTAGCAGCTAGTGAAAGCCCGCCCAAGTTCAGATTTTATTGTCCATAAATACCCAAATTCAGATTAGATCACTGGGCTTAATACCCAAATACCTCCTCTACTTTTCTTCTCAGAAACTATTCCATAACGATTATCTTCTCCCTCAACCTCTCCCTCGCTCTGAAATGGAATCATCGCTACCAGCAGCACAATCACCCAAATCTCCATCGTCTCCGTCCACTACCACTTCCTCCACCGGTAACTGCTACAACTATTGAGGCCCTACCTCCTTTGCGCCACCTCCCCAATCCCCTATCGATTGGCCAGAACTGTCGCCTCCCCCAAACTACAGGGGAATCTAGGCTCTAGCTCTTAATCTGCCTCCTAATAACAACTCCGAAGTGATCATCCTTGCTCCTGTGCCTCAATCCTAAAAGGTCCCATCCATTTCTCTTCCTTTCCACTTCTAATCACCTTCCAAGAAAATCCACTCCCCCATCGACATTCGCCAGTTTCATGAATCGAAAACATGGAAGAACTTCCTTGCTTTGTTGTCGCCCTCTCAGAATCAATTCGCTGCCACAAGATCTCCGATCTATGCCACGAATCCTCCACCGCCACTAAAATCGCCTCTGTCCTCGAAATCTTAATCCATTGGATCAACAAAATTCCTTCGGTTCAACAATCGTCTCACTATGGTAACATCTCCTACAAAACTTGGCACGAGTGGATAGGAATTTCCCGATCTGTTCATTCCTTCTTTTTGTTTTCCGTTATATGGAGATCGCGATTGTGCTGTTTGGATGTAGAAACAAAAGCGAAGGAAGAATACAATCAAAAGTTGCAGGAATTGCAAGCAGAGGTAGCTTCGTGTAATGAATCGCGAGAAAAGCTCCAAAGAAAGGTTAGTAATAAAAGACAAAGCATCCATCTCGGTAAAAAAAAAAATCCAGATTAGATGCAGATGAGGGGATGATGAGCGAAATGTCAAGTTTTAATGGATTAGTGACGTCATGTTACACAGAGGGGCTAATTTGCCACCTAAGACGAGTTAAGGGGTTCTTTTGCGCGTGAACTGACTTGAGGGGGTGATCTGTCACCACACGACGAGTTGAGGGGCTAATCTGCATGTTTTGCCGTGAGTGTATTTCCTGGGTTTGTCCAAGTGTAGCTTGTACGTATCCCTTTTGATGGAATTTTGAGGAATAGAACTTGCCAAATTCCTATAAAGGATTGACCAAAATCAAATGAGCATATGAATGGATCTAGAATAGTGCTTTAGAAAAATGGAATGTCAATCAGTAAATCTCAAATAACTTTCAACAGTTTTGTTATTTTGTACCGTCAAAATTAAAATTATAAAACTGGGATAATTTCTTAACCATCTATTGGTAGCTACTCACTTTGAAATCAAAGAATATCATACAGAAATCTCAAGATCCAAGCATTTTGGATTCTAAAGCCTCAACATATTAAGCTATTAGGTAATCTACATAGATGTTTGTAGTACACTGGAGGAGGTTGCTTCTCAAGAATAGCCTTTAAGATCTCAGGAGTTTAAACTGGTTCCAAGCAGCCACAATCCCTTCATGCCTCACAGTCATTAAAAGCCCTGTAACTGCTCAAATCAAAAGCACACAATCAAATGCTTACCCATTTACAAAATCTCAAAAAAAAAAAAAAAAATTGAAGAAGATTGGTGACTTACCTATCAAAAAGGCATAACCCCTTATTTAGCCCCTAAACTTATAAAACTAAGGTTATTTGCCCAAACAAAACGAAAGGAGTTGCTCATTTGATTGCTTTGACATGCCGTAAGGGGGATGTGCATTGTCTCTTGGATTTCTAGGTAGGGGTGGGCGCTGCTTATCCCGCTATGCCAACCACATTGTCATGTTATGTGTCAAGCCAGTGACATGGCATAATGATAAGCATCTTGATTTTTGGTCACAATGAGTAATTATTAATTTATCTTAACATATTCATAACAAGAGAGGTCTATTAATGCCTATTTTTTTAATATTTTTAAAGTTAATTAAAATTTAAAAGCATATAATTACATTTTTAAGATAAAAGACTTAATTTAAAGTTATTTCATTCAATTTATGATTTATAAATTTCACTTGAGATATTTTTATTGCAAATTAATTTTTTTTCAAAGTTACGTAATACTTCAAATTTGCAAATGAAAAATAGTATGAAATGAATTTGGTATGTATTTAAATGGTAATCGTAGAAGATTTTTACTGCTAAAAAATTTTATCAGGTAACCAATTATTTAAAAAATATCTTCACATGATATTAGTAAAGAAAAATAGTTGCCAAAAATTATTGGCAACCAAAAAAATCACCGGGTAAGGTACCCTATCCCACCGGTGCCCGCCCCAATTTCTAGGCCACCTTCCTCCTGGCGGGAATTTTTCTAGGGATGGACTTCCTCACAAATGGATGTTTAATTTGGACTCCTTACATTTTTGTCACTTTCAGAAATTGTGTTGTTAAATATCATTACCTAATGAAGGTACTTCTATTGCATGACTAGAGTTTCTTTTATTAGAAATGTTTAGTATTGGAGCTTACGTTGTACTAAACTAATTTTTAGATGAAAGTAAGTTTTTCGTTATTAAGAGTTATTTTTCATTCAAACACAATAAAAAAACACTTTTTTTATACTCTTTTGCTTCCTCTATTTTAGGATAATATATATTTTATTTAAAATTTGTTCTAGAATAATAGTAATTTTTTTATATTTTAAAGAAGATAAATATTTTTTTTATTTAACCTTATTATCATCTTTTGACTTTAATTATCTATTTTATAGTGATTTAAGTTTTATTATTTTTATTTCTTTTTTTTGGGTAATATAGGTAAAAATAAAATTTTTTTCTAAATCATTAATGTAAAGATAAAATCAAAATGCATCCATTATTCTAGGATGGAAGAGCATTAATATAATTTTCTTTTGGCTATCAAAATAAGAAAATAGGTCACACCGCCAGCGTTCCTTAACGAAAGGACTACTTTGGGGGTTGGAAAATTATATTTAACCAACATTTCATACCAAAAAAAAAAAAAATTGAGGGACCAAAATGAGATAAATTTGACAAGTGGAAGTACCAACTATGTACATTAATTAACCTTTTCACAATTTTCACTAGCTCAAGGACTAAAGTCTTGTCAAAACCTTATGTTAAGCCCCAAACTTATCCTAAATTATTAATTAAGCTCCAAAACTTTTACTGAAGCAAATAAACCCTTAAATTTAGCAATTTGAGGAATATAATCCTTTTCTTTATAGTGGACTTATGGACAAAATTAATGCTTGCCACGTAGGTAATAACATGAAAATACCTTATCCATACAAGCGAGGCATAAATGGGCATTAAGTTTGCTTAAAGAAAAAGGTTAAATTGCCTAAATCACTAAATTTAAGGGTTTATTTATTTCAATAAAAATTTAAGGGCTTAATGAAGAATTTAGTATAAGCTCAAGAGCTTAACATATGGTTTTGCCTAAAGTCTTTAATTGATGCTTCCCATCTCATCTGACTGCTCTTCCTCCTTGCATTTTGAATCAGCGATTGGAGAACCAAACAAACAAGTTCTGGAATGCAGAATTTTTGACAATCTTCCTAATGATTGTCTCGCC